ATGCCGGCTGGCACACTGATTCACTATGAATGTAGGCCGCACCCCCTAGCGGCAGAAGCTCGTACTACATCCGGTTCGCCCTCTATTGACACAGTCTTGAAACTTTCCGATCGCACATCGTATATAGCGCATAATTCATTGCATGTTTATACTCAAGAACTACAACTTCAAGCAACTTTCTGCGATAATGTCTACCATTCCGCATTCTTGTCATCATGCATCTGGCCCCCTCCCCCCACACACACACTCATTTCCTTTTACGCTTTCATTTGACGTTAGGCTTTTCCCATCGATTCCCTGCTCAGACAAGACATTCCAGTGTCTGAGTCAATATTCCTCGGGTGGTTCATTTTTATGCAGTGACAAGGGCAGGTATGAGCGGCTAATTCTTGCCTCTTGTTTGGGGCAGGTTAAGAGAACGTTCGTGAGAAGTGCACTTGTGATTGTGTGCACTTCGAAGTGAGGGCGGGGATTTGGTGGCCGAAGGTACTCCAGCGGCCCTTAAAATAACGGCAGAGAGGGGGAAAGCTTTTGTGGCGTGGCATTTAAATACTGTAGCAGGATCTGTGGGGAGCTCTACCTGCCTCATCTCATGAGAGACGATGCAACGTAGCAGTTAGTTACGAAACGTCGCGGAGCGGTCGAGTCGTTAGCACTCGTACTTCGCATTCGAAATGTTCCGGGTTCAGATCTCGGGCCGGAGACCAATTATGCTGACGACAGATACTACCTTAACTTAAGCCATGTTTTCTGTTGGTTATTTATGGGTAAAAGGGAGAAGTAAGAAGAGAGTGGAGTTAATTACGTGCTGAGGAGCTCCACAATTTGTACCGCCGCCTAATATTAATAGAGCGATGAAATTAAGGAGGTTGTGATTGACGGCACAGTCCATAAAAAATTTCACTGAGGAAACGTGAAGGGAAGGGATTTGCTTGGGTAACGTAAATGTGCGTGGGAGGACAGTGTTCAAATGGATTTTGAAGAAATATTGTTGGTATAGTTGCGTCATATTGTGAAGATATATATTTTAATTAATTAATCTTATCCGTCTATTCACGATTTAAAATTTAAAATTAAGATAATTAAAATATCATGTGATGTTCCTTATCGATACATTCGATTTACATTTAGAACATCTTTTTCTTACGACATGTTTCGGTTCTTAAATGAACCATCTTCAGGTGTATAAAAATTAAAGAAATTACGATTAAGTTTTAAGTTTATATAATTTTAATTTTTATACACCTGAAGATGGTTAATTTAAGAACCGAAACATGTCGTAAGAAAAAGATGTTCTAAATGTAAATCGAATGTATCGATAAGGAACATCACATGATATTTTAATTATCTTAATTTTAAATTTTAAATTGTGAATAGACGGACAAGAATAATTAATTAAATATATATTGTGTAATTTTAAGGGTGTGAAGTGGACAGGGACTTGAACTGGCGGTCTCTTAAATGTTCAGGAGAGAAATTTATAAATTAGCTGGTGGACTGTCAGCTTTTCAGGCACGACTTTGCTCCTTACAGTTAGTATCAAGCAGGCCTAAGTGTGCGTGTTTCATCGTCTCCTTCAAATCCCCTGACCCACGCACGACGCAGGAACAGGTTCAGATTCCGTCTTCAGGGTCTCTATAAAGCCGACTTGATTATAAGATTCTGACAGAATTCGTGGTGTATATAACTGAACATTGTGGCCGTACTTTTTCGTTGTTTAGAAGAGAGTCTTTCTCCTGCCTCATTCCTTTCTCTGCTCCCCTTCAAGCTTCATCTCTGTCACTGACGGTGATGGTGATACAGAGCCTGGCATTGACTGCGACTGGAAGACGGCCAATCTGAATGCATCCCTCTCTCACACCCCTGCCAGCTCAGTAGGTTAACAATCTCTCGAGAGTACGACGCCCGAAGATCTTGAAGAGTTGTCTCCACCACCGACTAGGCTAATATACGACACGCGTTATAAAGGTCCAGCGCGGTCTCATTTTTACTCCGGATCTTAATTTGAATAGCTGGTTCTCAGATGGGAAACAGAATAAATCTGGTTTAAGTCGTGCATGTAATATTTTGTTTGGAAAATGTGGTGGATGTTTGCCAGTAGTCGGAGCCTAATATGTGGAGGTATGTGTTTTGTAGTAAGTGCAAGGGACATGGGCTGCATTAATTTAAATATACTTTTGACAGTTCCACGTATCTAAAAGCACAAAGTTTAAAAGAAATGGTGATAATGCACATCCATGAAGATGGTTGTCTTCTGGGTTGTTGCCCCGTGTAGTCTGGTAGAAGCTTACCGACGTTTCAGAGGTCCTTGCTGTCTTCGCCTTAAAGATTGTGGTCCAGAGGAGGCCATACTCAACCCTGAAGACGGAGACTGTATGTTTCTCCGAAACACTGGCATATACCGATGGGTCACGTGTATATCAGAACGTATTGACCATTTGTACAGGAATTTGGTCAACACCTGGCGATTTATTCTTTGTAAACTTTTCAGTAGCAGTCCCAATCTCAAAAGAGGTAGGCTCAGGTACCAATGGCTGAGCTCTGTGCATTCCTGTCTGCCTAACGTCATGTTCATTCAACAGCTGACAAAATGTAATTCTTCCAACCAATCAGAGCACTGTTGGAATGTACAAGCGGATTCTTGCATTCATTTGTTACGTCCATGATAGTGCCTAGCACGTTTCTTCTCTGTGTTTGTTTCAAGCTCATTAATTTTATTATCTTGAGCTGCATTGAAGCTTAACAGTGAATCTCCCCTTCAAAAGTTTTGTATTTTATCTCCGGAAAAAGGGGGTTTTGATATTTTGCAGCACGTGCAAGATTCTCATTCGAAGTGAGCAGTTGTGGGGGCGGAGGCTCCGACTGATGGAAGTCGGCGGTACTTTTTCATTTCCAAATTAAGCGCGCTGTTGCAGCGATTGGATAAGGCGCCGGGCAACCGACGTCGCAATTACTCTGAGAGCCTGTTGGGGCCGTCAGTACGCCAGATTATTAGTGTCTTCCGCGTGTCAGTCAGGTGGAGTACCCGGCACAACGTTGTTATGAATAATTCTCATTGCAAACT